CCAACCAATGGGGTCTTTATATAGTGTGCACAATAGGGTTACACCATGTAACCCATGACTTTACCCATTCCTTATGCTCCATGGGTTTTAACCTCCATGGAGTATCCATGGGTCACCACATGGGTTAAACCCAACATAAGGAATCATGGATCATAAGCCCACGTATATAAGAATGAATGATTTACACAATCAATCCCCATATATTTAATTGGTCTCTTTTGATCACTAAATTAATTCTTGATCAATACTAATTAAATAATATGATTTCATATTAATATATTAGAACTTATAATATATTAATATGTCACAAATATCCTCTTCTCACAAAAGGTCTATCCAAATGTTCCGATGCCATGCAACCCAAATGGACCATGCCGGGTCGGGTCAAGTATATACCAATTATAGTTATGGACTTAGACACTAACCCAACAGTGTCTTGGTTTTCCTGGATTGATTTGAGGTCAAGCTACCACTAGATGAGGGCTAGAGAGGAAGATATATAGAAGACAACCTTTTGGACTCATTATGCTCGTTATTAGTTCGTAGTGATACCCTTTGGACTCATCAATGCACCAACAACATTCACGGATCTGATGAACCTAGTGTGTAGGTCGATGCTTGACCAGTTTGTGATCGTATTCATTGATGATATCTTGGTCTATTGTAAGACTAAGGATCAACATGCATAAAATTTGTGCAAGGTTTTGGGGGTATTAACAAATGAGAGGTTGTATGCCAAGTTCTCCAGTTGTGAGTTCTGGTTGCGTGAGGTTCAGTTTCTGGGAAACCTCGTCAATTAGGACAATATTATGGTCGATCCGGCCAAGATCGAGGTAGTGTTGCAATGGGAGGTTCTGAAGTCTCCATCTAAGACCATCAGTTTCCTTGGGTTAGTAGGTTACTACAGCAGTTTTATCTAGGATTTCTCTAAGATTGTCGTTCCACTCACCTGCCTGACAAAGAAGGGTGTGATTTTCAATGGGGGTTCTGAGCAACAGGCAAATTTTGAGACTCTAAGGCATAAACTATATGAGGATACAATATTGACCCTCCTAGAGGGTCTTGATGATTTCTTGGTTTATTCTGATGTATCGATCACAGGTTTAGGAGCAGTGCTTATGCAGCGTGGACGAGTGATAGTTTACACTTCTAGGTATTTGAAGCCTCATGAGGCTAATTACCCAATACATGATTTGGAGTTAGGGGTGTGGTTTTTTCCCTCAATATTTGGTGACACTACTTGTATGGGGTTCGTTGTACCATCTACACAAATCATAAGAGTTTGAGGTATCTGATGGACCAACCAAACCTGAACATGAGGCAGCATAGATGGCTCGACGTAGTAAAGTACTACGATTGTGAAATTATGTATCACCTATGTCAGACCAATGTGGAGGCTGATTCATTGCGTCATAAGGCGACTATTGCACCCATTCGAGACCTCTATATCAGGATGACTATTGTCACCCATATTTTACATATGATTAAGAGGGCACATACTAAAGCAATTAAGGAAGATAACCAGAAGAAGGAAGAGGTACTCGTCCAGGTTTCTGCATTTGACTATGAAAGTCGAGGTTATTGACTCTCCATGGCAGAGTCTGGGTTTCTTATTCTAGCGGGGACCGAAAAATATTTATGTAGGAAGATCATAAATAGAAGTTTTTTATTCATCTTAGCGCCACGAAGATATATAGGTTTTTGAGGCACGGTTACTGGTGGCTCTGCATGAAACGGGATATAGCTTGGTACATTGAGAGGTGCTTGACTTGTCAAAATGTCAATGTCGAACATTAGATGCCGCACGAAAAATTGTACCCCTTGGAGATCCTAGTTTGAAAATGGTAACATATCACCATGGATTTCATCAGGAAGCTACTGAAGACTACTAGGGATTTCGACGCTATCTAGGATTAATGGTTATTGTGGATTGTCTGACCAAGAGTCCCCATTTTATTGCTATCCAAGAGAGCTTTTTGGCCAAGAAATTGGTCGACAATTATATTCGGGAGGTAATATGGATCAGTACATTATGTACATTATGAACCATGCAAACAATAACAATTCATAAAGTAGTGGAATCTTAAACAAAACTCCATGAATATACATTATATAATAGAATTAGTCGTTACAAAAGTTGTAACAATTCCCCAAAAGTACATTGCCCAAATACATCTTGAAATACAACGACACAACCAAAAGACAAAACATACCAATGATCATCATCTGCTTTTTCATTTTTTTTCTTCAGAGTTTCACCTCAGTTAGCAATTACTGGATATGACCATCAACCAATTCCCTCTCAACAATTCTATGACATTTGTGCTTCTCCACCTTCTTTTACAACGTAGTAACTTGAGTAGTCCTACTTAATAAGTCTTCAATCCTCATTTTTTTATTCCAGATGGTATCCTTATAGTGTTTAGGTAGAGGTGGCTCTATCCACTTGAAGAACTTACAATTGTCATATTATATCTACAAAACAAACACATATTAGGGTTTTTTATAGCTAAATGAGGTTACAAACTGAATGTAATGATCGATTGATTTATGGGTATATAAAGACAAATGTTAAAATCAAAACATCGTTACCTTTAACAAAATATATAATCAACCCCATAATCGAGGTTTACAGCTCATAATATAGGGTTTTCTCGATCTAAATGAGTTATTTTTGTACAAAAGTCAAGACTTTTTGGGCAAAATGCTTTCACAAATTTTACGTGCTAAAAAGGATAATTTGTTGTGTTTTAACCGGTTAGAAGGTCAGTAAACAAAAGTCGTTGCTTATGTTTATGATTGAGTCCAGATGTGTGTCTAGTCAGCTTAATACATAAGCTAATAAGGATTGAAGCATTTTGTTTTAAGTAAGCTTACTCTCGATGGCTCAAAGTTACAAAAATAAAAATAAAAAATAGACAAAATTGCAAAAATGGTCCCTATGGTTGGCAAATTTATGTGATTTTGGTCCAACAAGTTTTGTTGGTGCACCACTGGTCCAAAATTGGATCTTTTTATTGGTTTTGGTCCCTGTCAACATGAAAAGACTATAATACCCCTTATATCTGTTTTTTAATTATTCTATATTTATTTAACTGGTTTTAATTAAACAAAAATAAAAAAAGGGCCACCTCTGCTTCTTTCTTGGCCTTCTTCGGAAACCCCTATCCGTTTCTATAATCTTTTCCCCCTCCTTAGTTCAACTCTACTACCACCTCCCTGTTTTCTCTATAGTTTTTGTTCGAGATGAAGATATGAAAAGAACATCATCCTGATGTTTTTCAATTTCTGTAACCTCAAGAGAAGAAGGAATTCGGCGACGACCACAGTTGGCGGTGGGAGGTGGGGCTTCTGTCGTCGTCGGAGGCAAGGTCGGCACCTTGGCTTCACGTTGTCCGACTTGTTCCACCTCTGCTTCTTTCTTGGCCTTCTTCGGAAAGCATTGGACTTGCACTTTATCAAAACGCAGCTCACCCCATCCAATTAGAGCCATCGTCGGAGCTAGGACCTTCACTTTATGTGTTGTCGTTTGCTGTATCCGGCCACCAAATTGTTGTATCTGATTTCCTCTGCCACTAGCATTAAATTAAAGACCATCACAGCTTCCTTAGCTCCTTAATTTATGTATCAGGCAAGCCACAAGAATCCATATCCCTTTCCCTTCCCATATCTCTCAATTTCTACTCCATTATCGACTTTTGATTTTGGTTTCTGAAAAAAATATTAGAAACAATTTTCAGATTTGATTTTTGTGGAGAATTCGATATGGGGACTTTAGTTTTTGGATTTGATTTGGGGATTTAAGTTTATCTGGGGTGGCTAGTGTCTTCAAGATTAGACAATGGGAGGTGGGGTGAGAAATTGGCAGTTTAGGCTGTGGGAGGTGGGTTGTTGTCGTCACCGGAGTCAAGGTTGTCGGTGGAGACTGTTGATCGATAGAGTAAGAGTGGTGGGGATTGGGGATGATGACTTAGGTAGGGCGTTTGGGATATTTTTGGTTTATTTAATTAAAAAAAATAAGAAATCTTAAAGAAAATAGATAAAAAGAAATTAAAAAAACAATTCTAGGGGCATATTCGTCATTTTAGGTTGGGTGTGGATCAAAACCACACAAAAATGTGAACCACAGGAACCAAAACCACATAATATATCTATATTTGGACCAGTGTTCCACCAACAAAACCTTTTGGACCAAAACCATAGAAATTTGCCAACCAGAGTGACCATTTTTGCAACTTTGACTAAAAAATAAAAATAAACTTTAGTGACCGATTAAACCAAAACCAAAACTTTAATGTGCTTGTTAATAACCATATTTTATATTACCATTTTTACACATTTATATGCGCAAAAAAAAAAAAAAAAAAAAAAAGAAAAAAAAACTTAACAATTCAAAAACATAACCAATTTTTTTTTTTTTGATCGGAGCATCTCAAACCAGTTGTAATTGACTAATATGATTTAGTAACTCATGAAGATAAATGTGTGTATGAGTTGCTTATTTTCTGAAGTTATTAATTATTTCAAAGGATTGATTTTAAATTCTGAATATTAATTTCCACACCTGCTAAAAATGTTATCATCGTTCATGGATGACCAATGTACTCTTAAAGAGGAACATATGTAGTGCATTTTTTTTTTTTTTGCCTACTTCTTGTACTATAACCAAACCATTATGTTGGTTGGCCAAAAGAAAGAAAATTTGGATATAAAGATAACAATGTCCAACTATTTACGTTCCATATTAATTGTTCTTTTTCCTTAGATCGAACGTTGCATATGTGACTAATATAGTTTTGGCAAGAAATGAATTATTGAACTTTATCGATTATGCCATCATCTTATTCTAAACCATCTAATCCACATGAAATACAAAGATTAATTACATAATAAACTTACACTAATTACATATATAATTAACTTACACACACATATCCATTCATTGATTTGATTAATTATTAGCGAAATGAATGATACTACAGATTTAAAATGAGGTGAGGTCAGGGGTGATCGAGGCGATTGATGAGATACAGTGCATTACTGGTGACTTTAGCCACATTTGTTATCTTCTTTTTGACGTCGGATCTCACCCTCCCTTCGATCTCCTTGAACCCATCAAGACATGTATCTTCGTTTGTCAATGCTGCACTCACCCATGTCTCGGCATTGCTCATCTGCCACCTGAATGTCCCTCTTCTCAGCTGCTTCAGTTCACCGAGCGTCTTCCTGAGATCGTCGACGGAATCCGATATCTGGGAAGCGCAGTCCTTCATCGCCCCTATCTCCCTTTTGTTCGCCTCCTTCTGCAGGCCGGAAAGAAAGTCGGACGCCTTGGAGGCTCGAGAGATGCTGACTTTGATGGCGGCCTGTGCTAGCTCCCGTGGGGTAGTGACGGGGCCTTTGTATAAGGTGAGGCTGGTGACACAGACCTTCGGGAAGGTGGCGTGTAGGCATGAGGAACGGACTAGATCTGGAGAGGGGGAGGGTTCTACGGTTGTGGCGACGGAGAGAGTATAGAGGATGAGGAAGAGGGCGGCGAAGGTAGCCATGGAGGAGAGGAAGTGAAGCTAGTTAGCAAAGTGTGATTGGTAGTAGGTGGGAAGCAACTAAATAGGAGACCGTCACAAAGGAGAAGATATTAATGTGACTGAAACAACGCGTGATGGGCTCACCCTAGCATAACATAAAGAAGTAGCAGTGAAATAATGGATACCATTTGAAAGAGCTTTTTATTATACGAATAAATCCTAATATAAAATCTGTATACATTTTTTTTAGTAATATACTTATAAAAATAAATATTATAAATGAAAGATTATCCCGAAATAACTGATTATATTGACTATATATCTATTTGCCAAAAAAAAAAAAAAAAAAAAAAAAAAGACGAACATCAATCATGAAACACCATATTTCAGATTAATCAATTACGAGTTGGATCGTCCAACATCGGAAGTAACCACGTTCGTAATTTGACCTCTAGTAGAATATGAATCACAAAATTGCTTACGGTGCACTACAAAAAATCATGTCATTGTCGGCAAAGGTGTCAACGGTTATGCCTTGAGAGACCGTTCCGCATGAACTCTTTGTGGCAACCCCAAATCGTCCGATTGACATTCTAATCCTATGAATGGGAGTCCGTTTCGCTTAAACTCAATAGCGGCGACATCAATACCGGCGATTTTTTCGCAGGCTAAAGGTCGAATAAAAGACGCAGTAATAATTCCTTCCATAGCCGTCGCCGCAATTGAATCGAGTCGCCGGTAAAGGTTTTTGCGTCGCCGATATTGCTTCATGTAGATAACCAAAAAAATCAACGCCTCTTTTCCTTTTCTGCTTTTGTTTCTCTTCCAGATTTGCTCATGTTTTTTTCTTCCCCATTCGTCGATGAGTCGTACCGATTCAGGCCACCAGCGGCGACATCACGTTTTTTCTTACCCACTGTGAGATTCCGACAAGAAAACCGGCGACACATTTACAGTTTCTCTGGCGACTATAAAGCATTTCCGGCGACGTAGGGCATCTCCAACACATTTCTCATTATCTTTCTCTTGTAACATCGATTTTAGCTTATAATAGTGATTAATTGAAAAAAAAAATTGTCATTTTAAGTTTTTGATTTTCTGCTTTCCGATGACTGTTGCTGTCATCATCGGCGACTACCGTCACCACTACACCATATGTTGATTTCTGCCACCACATGTTTTATTTACTGTAAATTTCGAGATTAATTGCAAAATATGTGTATTTGTATAAATTATGTGAAATTTGGTATATGTGTATATTTGATATATGTATGTGAATTTATGTGTGTTTGGTGTATGTATGTGAAAATATGTGTATTTGGTGTATATGTGTGAAAGTATATGTATTTGGTATAAGTATGATGCTATTATGTATGTATGTGAATGTATGTGTATTTGGTGTATATGTGGTATATGCATTTGAAAGTATGTGTATTTGGTATACATATGATGCTATTATGTATATATATGTGAAAGTACGTGTATTTGGTATAAATAGGATGCTATTATGTATGTATGTAAATGTATGTGTATTTGGTGTATATGTATGTGAAGTTTATGTATTTAATATAAGTAAGGTGCTATTATGCATATATATGAAAATATATGTATTTGGTATAAGTAGGATGATATTATGTATGTATGTGAATGTATGTGTATTTTGTATAAGTAGAATGCTAGTATGTATATATGTGAAAATATGTGTATTTGGTATAAGTAGGATGCTATTATATATGTATGTGAATGTGGTATAAGTAGGATGCTATTATTGAAAAAAATCAAATAAAGTAGGATGTTATTATTGAGAATGCTATTTTTTGTAAAAAAAAATATAATAAAAAAAAATAAAAAAACAATGTGGATTGTAAAAAAACAAATAAAGTAGTATGCTATTATTGAGAATGCTATTTTTTCTAAAAAAAACAATGTGGATTATAAATAAATAAATAAATAAATAAAGTACGATGCAATTATTGAAGATGCTATTTTGTAAAAAAGAAAAAAAACAATAGGAATTGTAAAAAAAAAACAATAAAGTAGGATGCTATTATTGGCAATGAAAACATAAAGTAAACTACTACAATAGAAAAACAACAACAAAATATAATTGTTCAAAATACAATGTTATAATTTAAAAAAAAACAAAAATAAATTGTTATAAATAACAAAAATATAAATTAAAAAAAAAGTACAATGCTCAAATAAAAAAAATAAAAAACAAAAAAAAACAGTGTAATATTTAAAGTACTATGTTGTTATAGAAAACGTAAAGAGAAATCAAATACCATAAATAACAAAAATTTACAAAAGTAAGATGTTATATATATATATATATATATATATATATATATATATATATATATATATATATTGTAATGCCCGTGTTTCTAGGCTAGGCATTAATATTGACGTGATAGTCTAGGTTAAGCTTTGTAACTCATTTACAAGAAATGAAAAGGAATTATGTGAATATTATGTGAATATTATGTGAAAATTATGTGTTTTATGCTTAATTATTAGAGTTTAATTAATTTAGAATGAAAATGAGCGTCGAAAATAAATATTAGATAAAACCGATATCTATTAAGAAAGTTGTAGTGGTCGTGACAAGTATTACAGATATATAAAGAATACCGAAATCCGAGTTATAACGAAGAGGTTATGACCTGTCGAAGTTTCGCGACAAAACCGGCATGATGTTGAATGACGTAAAAAGTGAGTTTTTGATAAACAACTTTTTAGCCTTAGTGATCTAAACGAAAGTCGTAGTGTTCGTTAAACCGAGAGTATGTATAAAAAGAACGCCCAAATCTGACTTCGTATGAGGAAGTTATGATTTTTCTAAGTTTCAGATTAGCAGTAGACAACTAAAAACTCGAATTTTAGATCGAGTGATTTTTAGCCGACACAACCTAAACGAGAATCGAAGGTCTCGTCAATAGTAGTACAACGGTAAAAAGACAGACGAAAACGGACGTCGGATGAAGAAGTTATGAATTTTTAACGGATTTCCTGTCCCGGTTTGTTAAAAATAATAATATAAAAATTAAATTCAAAATTAGCCGACGAAGTCTAAACGAAAGTTGTAGAGCGTAATTTTACCTAGGCGTGCATATAAAGAACGTCAAAAACGGAGCTCGTATGCGAAAGTTATGAATTTTAGAAGATTTTGGCACAAAATTCGAGAAATTTCGCATGGATAAGCTTCACCCGGAAAAGCCACGTCACCTCGCATGAACAGTAGCCGCATGTCGCTTCCAGATTCGACCGAAGTCTCAGCCCTCGCACATCCGACGCGTGTGCACCCCCGTGTCCGAAGCAGCTTAGTCACCCGGTGACGAGGCTCGTACGAAGCCTGACGCGTGGCCTCGCATGCGAGACGTGTCCGAGCTTCGCTGCTGCCACCTGTCCGAGCCACGTGCCTTCGCCTCCTGCTGCCTCGTGCCCTCGCTGCTGACTCACTCCTCTCGGCCGACCTTAGGATCTCCCCTATAAATAGAAGGCTGCGAGCCTTCTCGGGTAATTTTGAGAAATTGCCATTTTACACCCCTTTTTCAATATTTTCACTATTTCCACTTCCCCCAAAGCCCCGGGATTAATTCCAACGCCCGGAACACGCCCCGAAGTACCCGAAGACCCGGAAAATTTTATCTTTTCGGTTTTGAAGCCCAACCTTCGCAGAGCCCGGTTTTTCAATAAAACTCCCGGTTTTATTAGAAACGATCGTTTTAGGAAACGAAGTGCTGCCCGATTATCGTTAAATCAAGTGAGTGTGTAGTTACTTTCACCGTACACATAGATATGAAGTATTTTATATAAAATACGTGATGTGTGAATATATATATTGTTTGTTTATTTGAGATGGATGTTGAATGAATGACTTATACAGGTTTTTAAATAATTTAAACTGTATATGTATTTTTATCTACAAAAAAAATGTTGGGTAAAACATGGGTACATGAAAAAGTGGGTGTGTGATGAAAGATGAGTTGGATAAATGAAATGATCAGTGATATAGATCATGAGATGAGGGTGAGTGGTGAAATATGAGAAAAACCCTTACCCAAACGTTGGCCCCCGTCATTCAGCAGAGTATGGATGACAACCATGGACTATTCTAGATGATCTGTGGAACACTAGCAGACTCGCAACCTGTAAGTGTGTGAACTATATGTTCATCAGTCGTACTCTAAAAATCCATTGACATGTATGGCAAGGAGATTCCTGTGAATAATACTGTCGATAAATAAGAGCTATGGACTTAGCACATGTTGTATAAACCCTGGCAGCTATGGACTTAGTGCCTGTTGTATAAACCCTGGCGACGATGTGACTTCGTGCCTGTTCCTTAGGATGAATCCTTAGGAATGAGTGATAGTTGAATCTTAGGGTAAATCCTTAAGAAATAAATAAGATAATGGGGTTGGGGTAATTTGGTTGATTGTTGATGTTTAAGCATAACAAATTTATTTATTGTGGGTTGAAAACCCTATATGCTCACCAGGCTTCCAAGCCTGACCCACTCAGCTTTTTATATTACAGGTAGTGGACCCCGGGCATAGTCGGATGATGATGATGAGTGATTTTTGGATTATAGGCCAGTAGTTATAAATAACTGTTGTAAGGCTTATAATGTCTTGTTTATGCTTTTGATCTGTATCGGAACATGACATCCCGAGGTTTTGATATGAAATGAAAATATATATTTCTTAAAGAAAGGTTTTGATAAATTTTATCATGTTTTGTTTTGGGAACAAATTCCGCAACATCTTTTAAAAGGATTACTCTGATTTTATTTTAAAAAGCATAAAATAAATTGGTCTTTTATGGCCGAGAAATTAGGGGATGTCACAGTTGGTATCAGAGCATTAGTTTAAGCGAACTAAGAAATTGTAGGATTTCTAGACTTAAACTTAGAATGCTAAGTGATGATTGTGAGATGAGTGTCTACCATATTTTAGACACGATCACTAGTTTATTTTAGGAAAGATGCCTAAAATGCTTTTATGTGCTAAATGCTA